TGTAATAGAGCTAAGTGTAATGGACAAAAAAGAGAAGTGTGGACAACATCTTGGTGATAAACAGAGGGGAAGTAAGGAGGGCCCTGCAGGGGCAAACAGAAAGGTGCAGCCCAGAGAGACTGTGATGGGGGCTGGCCCCGGGTACTGAAGGGGACTCAGGCTAGCTCAGGGTGGGCCAGGGGCTTCAGCTCCATGTCTGCAGGAGGCAGCTGGGAGCCACTGTGATCCCTAGAAGAAGACTGACAGATGGAGGCAGAGCGGAGCTCCAGCCTGACCACTGTTCCCAGGAGACTGAAGTATCAACAATGACCCTCTGGTGATCAGATCCAGCTTCTTACCTTAGGAATGCTGAGAACAATGGTGGGGCAGCACGGCACCTGAGCCTCATGGCCTGGCTTGGGTCCTGACTCTCTCCCACTTACTAGCTATTTGCCATTGGGTGAGTTACTGAATCTATGCCACAGTTACCTCATCTGTAAAATGCAAACAATAATAGTATCAACCTCATAGTGTGATTAGGAGGATCAAATTAGTATATATATATATACTAATTTATATATATATGTATATATATATAAACTTGATTTTAGATCAAAAGGAAATCTAAGGGAAAATGCCCATATTACTGAAAACACCAGCTTAGATTTGTACAGAATTCAAGAGACTCAAAGGTCAATTTTGCAACCAGCATCTCCTATAACATTTGCCTCAAAACCAAGCATTTTCTTTCTCTCCACCAGTCTCTGTCTCACTTAAGAGCTAATGATTTTCTTCTCTGAAAATCAAATCCCCATGAAAACAGAAATAACTGTCCTCCTCTTTACTCATCGCAGTCTCGGGACTGGGTTTTGAGCTCCCTCTCCCCCAACCCCATGGGTGACAGATGGTTCTACCAGAAATAAGATGTCCTCCCTCACCCCCTGCTGCAGAGATGATGGAGTTGACCCCAGGGACATCACACAGCTCTAAAGCTGGAGACATGGTTTGTTCTGAGTGGGTGCCACCAGGAAGGAAAATAGCAGAGAGCCACTTTTAGCACACAAGTTAGACAAGCAGAATCTGGCCTTTCTTCTCTGGCAGAATGCGCTGACTCGAAGCCTGCCAGGTATCACGAGACAAACGGTGCCAGGGTCCAGGCTACGCAGTGTAACAGTGTCAGTGCATTGCTGAATCGGGGCAGGGTAGAAAATGCCACACATGGGTGGTCTGATGGCACATGTGGTTAGATGATATTGTACTTCTGACACACCTCGGCCAGTGCGTGGCCAAGGCGGTGAAGGGAACTTTCTCAGAGGTGATGGTGGGAAGAGGGCAAAGTCAGACTGTACATAGACACGTTGTTCCCCCACCCTTTCTTTTTTTAAAAATTGAAATATAGTTGATATACATTATATTAATTTCAGGTGTACAACATAGGGCTTCAGCAATTGTATACATTCCTAAATGCTCACCATGATACGTGTAGTTACCATCTGTCCCCCACCCTTTCTTAACGAAAGCTTAGAAATAATCTTGCACACCCAGCAAAGAGTCAAAATACATCATTAAGTAAAGGTCTTTAATATCTTTAGCTTTCGGACCTGCCCATGCGGGGGCTGCCTTACAACGCTGCATTACCGTGTGAACATTTTCCTATTTCACACCTGGCCATTTTGAGAAAGAAAATAAAAGGCACAAAAGGAAGGAGTAAAAGAAAAGGGGAAATCGGATGATGATGATGCATAAGGCTCTTTGTGACTGAAATAAATGCCTGAAAAAGGAAGCCCTGAAGTAATGAGAAGGTATCATTTCCCCGAGCATTGCTGAGTCCGGGTCATCTGAAACCTTCAGAAGGTGTCGGTTATATGTGGTGCATTGTGCCAACTAGATTCCATGGCAATGTTCTAGGCTTTTGTGCCCTTCAGATAATGTGCCCAATTGCCTGTTTAATATACTGACAAAAGAACATCTTCTCATGCAGAGGTGCCTGATTAAGGGCTCTTAAATGAGCGAACACTTTCCAGCAAGATGTCCTAATGACTGTGGGCAGGGATGACACAGAGCTGGGGGGTTTTGGTGCTGTTCTAAGAGAGGCATTATCAGCCATGTCCCACCCAAGAGGCATGATTGGGCCCCCCTGCTCCCCAATCCACAGCAGAGCAAGTGCTGCTAATGGGGGGCCTTCCCCTGCTCTTCACTGTGCCCCAGCCCCTCCGTCAGGGCACAGCACCCACCCAAGACCACTGCTGGCAGAGGCAGGGAGCCTGGGGCCTCTGCCTCTGCAACAGCTGGATTTCATGGTGTCTGTCCACTGAGATGTTTTTTTATGGTTGGCTGAAATCTAGAGAATGTTTCTTTGTTCAGTGCATTTTTTAATAGTGTCAACATTTTAAGGTTCTTTCTTACACTGCTCTCTGCCTCGGGATGGTCTGTGCAGGGGGTCTTGACTTTGGAAGAGCAGAAACCATTTTGAGTATTTATTACTCCCCCAAGAAAAAGGAAATGTGCTAAGAGCTCTGGATGTATATTTTACAGAATACTTGCGTTTGATGGCAATGCAGAGTATTCTAATACAATCTGTGGTGCAATGTGATGTAATGGCCTCCCCATTGCTGAGAGGGCTTGAGAAGAGCTAGTCGAATAGAAATGTTTTTAGTGTTGGATGGGAGGTTGAACTAAATGACCACTAATAGGTGCCTCCCAATCCAGAAGTCTATGACTCCCTTGGGATGGTCATACTGGAATCCTATGGGGCTGTAGGAATTGAGGGGCAGGGGACAGGGCATCCAGTTTCAGTTTTCAATCTGGAGGGTGGACAGTTGCCATGCAAAGAGGACAGTTGGAGAATGGGGACTGGCCAAATAGAGGGGGCAAAGGAGAGGGGTGAAGAGGCATCACTTAGCCAGAGCACAAAAGGGGCATGAAGACTGGCAGGGTAATTAGAAAAAACAGTGTATCCTAAGCCCTCTTGGTTATAGAGGTTGAGAGAAACTAAAGATTTACTTCTGCTAACACATACCTCCCAGTGTTCTCTACTCCCTGAAATCTCTGCCACTTTGAGCATTATGTCTACTGAGCAGTGTCTCCAGGAATCCATTGTCTAAATGAGCAAATAGCACCTGCAATAGAGGTAGTGTATCATACTAATTGAGTTTTATCTGACCGTATCTTTGTATTATATTAAGCAATCACTTTCCCTCTCAAGGCCCCAGTATCCCTACGTGCTCATGAATAACTTTTTTTATAGACTCCTTGAGATTTTTCTACATAAACAATCATGTCACCTGCACATAAAGACAATTTTAATTCATTCTTTCAAATCTGTTTGCCTTTTCTTTTACCTTGCTTTATAGCACTGGCTAGGACCTACAGTACAGTGTGAAATAAAGTGATGAAAGTTGTGAAATAAAGTGATGAAAGTTGTGACATAAAGTGATGAAAGTAGATACCCTTGTCTTGTTCCTGATCTTAAGCAAAAAGCATTTTGTCTTTTGCCATTAAAGATGATGTAAACTATAGGGTTTTTCATAGATGTCCTTTTTCAGATTGAGGAAGTTTCCTTCTATTTCTTGTTAGATGAGGATTTTTGTTAAGAATGGGTATGGAAGTTTATCAAACACCTTTTCTGCTTCTGCTGAAATGATCATATGATTTTTGCTTAAACTGTTAATATGCTGCCTTACATTAACTGAATGGTTCAAATGTTAGACTCCTCTGGCATTCAGTTAAACTACTTACAGCTCAACTTGATCTTTTTGAAACTTGTATTTAAGCTTTGTTAAGAAGGAGCCACAGCAGTCTTTACCCTCTGGCTAATAAAGCCTCACTACTAAGACAAGACTTTTCCAGGAACTCTACCCAATACCCCATCATTTTCTGAGATGTCTCTGCTTTGACTGGTGAGAATGATACCCTTCCTTCCCCTGTGCAAGCTCTCAGAGTTGTATAATATCTACTTTCTGGCCATTCTTTACTGCCTTGTAGAGTTTCACCCTACACAGATCATTGCTCAGCCAGACTCAAGGACATCCCTTTGAAATTCTCCAGAACCCTTTCTATGCCACTGCCTCCTCTCACATACTCTCCCTCACGAACTGCAGCCACCTCTGTCTCCCCAAACTCTGGTTTTTGCCTCCTCATCTCAGTGAAACTGTAGGCTCTGTTTGGGTTCCCCTCCAGTGGTGCTGTCTAGAAACCACCCGCCAGGCAGCAAGCCAGGGCAATCATATCTGCACCTCGCTGGCTGGCTTCTTTTCTCCCAGGGATTAGAATGCTGCGCTGCCTGAAGTCCAGTGCCGAGACAAGTCACTGCACACGTCTGGACCACCTCTAGCTGCGTGTGGCAGGACTGCAGTTCTGCAGTGATGGCTCCCCAGGAGTAGAGGTGGATTTCACCTGCTGCATTTATTCACGCTATCACCATCCCCTTTAATGCTAGTCCCAAAGCAACTTCACCTGTTTGTTACTTTGACTGAAAGCATTTCACGTTAGACTGTCACAGAAAGGGGATTGGAGATGGACTCAGATCTTTGCTGTTCACTTGATAGCATCAGTTATAACCATTGCAGGCCTTAGTTCTAAGTCCTATAAAATGAGAGTAAGGGTTACTGACCAGCCTACCCGTCTAGTAGGTTGTGAGATAGAAACCAAATAAAGAGGATGACAACACCCACCGTTCCAGCCCCCTCCACCCCACTCCCCGAGGGCGCCATCCGTCCCCACACGAGACTTCCAACTGGGCCCTACCTCCCTTCTGCTCTTGCTGAAGTTGCCTCTCCGTGGCTCCCTCATCTCTCCAACATGTTGGCCCAACCAAGTATCTGTAAAAATATTCACCAGAGCCACCTGCAAGTACTATTCTTTAATGAACTTGTAGTTGTGCTGCTCTTCTAAAGTGGTGATGAAGTGTTACATGTTTGGTGATTGAAACTGCCTCACCTTAAAAGCACGAACAACGACTTTACAGAGCGGAGTGCCAGAATTTCTGGCGCAACAGGCTAATGAACCCCTTCTTTCCCCAGGGCTACCTGGAGCCATTGGAACTCCAGGGGAAAAGGGAGACCCTGGTGAGCTGGGCTTGACCGGAAATGAGGGACCGGCGGGGCAGAAGGGTGACAAGGGAGACAAAGGGGACGCATCCAACGATGTGCTCACCACAGGTACGGCGGGCGCTGCTGCCCAGGCACTTTCCCGGGGTGAAAGGGTCTGGGAGCCAGTCTGGTTTCCAGCACAAAGGTCCCCCTGAGTCCCCTCTCCTTTTCTGCCTATGTGTCCGTCTGCTCTGCAGCCTGTGTTAGAGTTCCCTGCTCCCAAAGAGGAGAAAACTGTGAGTGGTGCCCCAAAGTTAGTGAGACCGAATCTGAGCTTGGAAAATTCAGGTCTAAATATCATGATTGGATTGAATTAGGATGAAGGAAGCATGCTTTTTCCAGATATCTATTAATTCCAGCCCAATTCACAACAAGACAAGTAAGCAAGCAACTTAAGATTCCTAAGACAGCTGGCAGAAAGCACCGGCCTTCTCTTCACAGACAAGGTAGGGCCATCCTCAGGCCCTTAACCTCAGCTGTCCAACATAGTCAGGGCAGACATGGCTGCTGATCTTTGTCTGGTTTCCAGCCTAGGTTCAAAGCAGGTATTTGGCATCCATGGGATGCAACAAACCACAGAAAGATAATCATGTGGTAGGAGAGGAGGTGACAGCAGATGGTCATGGGGGAGGAGGAGGCAGAAGAATTTTAAAAGCACGATACTTTGGAGACCATTTATATCATAAAAATATAACTATCATCCTGTTAATATAGTCAATAAACATGTTTTAAATATCAGAGAGCACCATTTACAAATTAGGGACTTGGCTACTAGCTAGGAATGTGAATATGAAAATGATTAAGACATGACTTCTGTCCTCAAGAAGCTGGTGACAGAGGTTCAGAACAGGGTCCTGGAGTCAGACTCCCATCCATCTGTTCAAAATTTATTGAGCACCTGTTATTTGCTAGGCACTGCACAGGGACCAAAGCATTGAGGAAAGATAAGATTGGGTTTACATGCTTTGTTTCATAAACAGGAAGATTTCTATGCAAAATGCATGAAATTTAGAAAGCATTTTGACAGGATCATATATATATATATGTGAATATGCTTCAAAAATATAAGGTCTTGTTATGCTTCACTAATATGGGAAATCTACACATCCGGAATATTTCACTCCCCTATAGTACTGCTCAAGTGAGGGATGATGACAAACCATTCAGAAAAGCAACACCCTTGAGTTACCCGGTTCCAGAGACCAGGGGAGAGCTGGGCGTGTCCCCTGAACAGAGGGCTGGATCCTGTCTGCCCCGCCTATAGATCTCTACGCCTTTGGAGTGGGCCTCGCCCCACCTCCTGCCTCTTGACCCCTGCTTCCCCTCTCTAGAAAGGCTGAAAAGACTTATTTGGTCTGGCGGGGAAGAGGCAGCTTAAGAGACTTTAGATCCCCAGCCAGCCCAGAACAGGAGGGTAGGTGCAAAGCGCTGAATAGCCCAGCCTGCTTTATGAGAGCTCCACCACCAGTGGCCCCTGCAAAGGGCTGTACCCACATTGACCACCTGAAGTTAGAGGGGTGGAGGGATTCCAGCTGGCGGAGCACTCGCCCAGTGACCTCAGTGGATTCTCCCAAGGCAGGACAGGGAGTAGAGACTCAATCTGCAAATGAAGAAACAGACTCAGAGGGTTGGGCCACCTGCCCAGGGTCACACAGCAGGACCCTGATTTCCTTTGCCACCCAGAGCAGTGCTTCTCAGACCTTGCAGCACATGAGGAGGCTTTAGAAAAAAACAGATGACCAACCTTCACACTATTTTGATCTAATTGATCTGGGATCGGGCCCAGAAACTGTATTAGAGCTCTTTAGGGGATTCTAACAAGCCATCAGCGTTGAGATCCGTAAACGTAGGCCAACGAAAACAGGAGGAGCTTTACAGTGGGACACAGCTGAGATGAGGCCCAGCCCTATTCTGGTTGTGACCTTGAGCAAATAAATCCCTGAACTTCCCTAAGACTCAGGCCACTGAGTAACTACTAAAGCTGTATCTCACAGAGTACTTGGGAAGTACAATGGGGAGGAGATTTATAAATTTGTAGCACAGTCCTAGAACTAGTTGGAACTCAACACCTGCTAGAGCTGTCTCTGCAACCCTGCATGGACAAGTGCTAGAATAGATAGATGAGGTGCCTGGGAAGTGGGAGCTCAGCAGCCACCCTGGGGCAGCTCATTCTCCTTTTCCCTTATGTGAAACCTGTCTTTGTTCATGGCTCTTTAATCAGTCTCTCTCTCTCCGTCTTTCCCTCTCTCTCCAGGTGCCAAAGGTGACCAAGGCCCACCTGGCCCACCTGGCCCGCCTGGGCCCCCCGGCCCTCCGGGTCCTCCAGGACCCCCTGGAAGCAGAAGGTCCAAAGGCCCTCGGCAACCAAACATGTCCAACGGCCAGTGCCCAGGTCACCAAGCCTGGTCCAGGGAGACCAGCTCTTCAGCTAGTGATCCCAAACTCCTGGGCTTAACCCAGTCTTTGCAACCAGATTTTTTTACATAGAGGCAGGAGATTTTGCTCAAAGCAAGAGTTCCCCATTGCAACATGCTCATGGGAAGCCTGAACAGTCTGCCCCAGGGTTGAGGACTGATGGCAGGTTTAGAACTGGGCCTCCCACCCCCTTCCCTCATCCATTTCTCTTCATTTATCACCAGACTGTTCTGCTTCCTTGCAAAATCCACCATCCTTCTCCCCTGAAACAGTGTTGAAGGCCAAGCTGTTCATTGTTGGAGCGTGGACATCCTGACTGATGCTGAGGAAGTGTGGGGAAGTTCAGACTGGTGAACTCCCCACAAAGACTGCCGTTCTGCCATCATCACTGACAATGTGCCAAGGGCTGATAATGTGCCAAGCACAGTGCTAGGGCTTAGGCCACTTAATTCTCACTCACAGTTACAAGACTGGAACCCAAGGAGCTAAGCAGCTTTCCCAAGGTCACTCAGTTAGAAAGTGACATGCTAGGATTCAAACCCAGGTCTACCTGACTGTAAAGGCCCTGCTCCTAGGGCTCCTGCCCTTCGGAGATGGGAATTCATGCTCTGAGACTAAGCTCACCAAGGGCAAAGAGCACCTGATCTCTGGCAGGCCAAGAGGACTTGCTTTGTGAGAGGGATGGCCATGGATTGAAAGGTCATCAGAAACCAAGGGCCATATTAATGGGAAATACTTCTAGGTGATGTTAGAACGCCTCCCCAGAGGGGCGACCTGGGACCCGCCCCTGCTGAGGCATGAGGAGGCACAGCTTGCGGGCACTTCGGGGCCAACAGGAGGGTCCTGACTGGAGCTTCTGCCACACCTGCCGTGGATTTCACCGCCCCTTTCCTAAATGGTCTTTAGTTCCCCTCGCTGCACTGTCCTTTCTGGAAGACATCTTGGCAGCACACACCCAGCTGTCAGAGTGGGCGAATCTATGCTTTCAGAGATGTCACCATCTCCCCACCCCAGTCAGTGGAGCCTGATTATAATTCAGCACTTAGTGCCTTGATAATCACAGCTGAGCCGCTCCTTCCCTGACCGGCAGCACCACCCCCTCCGTTAGCTTCGGCCCTTTGTTCAGCTTCCCTTGGAGAATGAGCTGAGCAGACCCCTCTCAGCAGAGACGGCTGACCTGAGCTTTTGTGGAATTCTAATTTGCAGAGGGCGCTGTCAGCCAGTGACAGCAGGGGCCTGGAGAAGCACCCTGCTCTGCCTAGCCCATCTGTAAGAGGCTAGCAGCAGGGGCTGGGACCCAGAGTTGTGACAACTGCTTTAAATGAGGGGCCATTATCTTCCATTCTATCTCATGGATCAGGGAAATGAGCCCTCGGTTACCAGGCATCCTGCACATGAACTTGGCCCTCTTCCCTGCTCCAATTCCATGTCTTTAGCCACCCCCTCCTCCCACAGGTAATGGGAGCCCTTTCTTCAGGCAAAGAACAGAGCTACTCTCTGCCCCTTTCTTGTTTAAAGCCCAAGTTCTTAAGCAGAAACTCAGGCAGCAGGATTGCATGTGGAGGATCATATCAGATCCCTGAGATCGCTCTCATCAGGAGCCTTTAGGGAAACACAGGCTCACCCAGCTAGAAAGACGTTCAGAGGTCGTGGTGAGTCCTGTGCCCATTTTTGCTGATAAACAAACCTCTCCAGATTGTTCTGGGAGCTTCTCTAGTGATGATGCATGTGCTCCTTTCTATCTAGCAACCACGAGTGATTTGAACCCCTCGGAATTCGACTAGGCAAGTGGGCCTGGCTTTTCCCGGGAAGCCAGATTTGCCCCAGCCTGCCCCAGACCAGGGTCCTTACCTCAGCCAAGCCACTTCGTCTCATCTGCGCAGTGGCCATGATCCTTCCACCTCTTGCCCTGCTTCTGCCGCTCCAAACCTCCTCTCCACCCAAAGGCCTGAGTTATGCCCATTTGTTAAGGCGAACCATGACAAACCAGAGGATGACTTCCAGTTCAGGTGTATCCTCAAACCAACCATGAACCAAAGACCTAAGTCCCACAGGCCTGCAAGGAGAGACAGGTGGGCAGTGGGGGTGGGGACTCACACGCCCCCGGCCCAGGCTGCCTGTGGACGCCTTCTCTCTGTGAGCCCTTCCTCTGAAAGTCCAGGAAGACAGGATAAAGTGGGCCACCCCACCATGGGGTCCCACCAGCTTCTCTGAAAGCGAAAATGCTTGTAGAAAAATGACACCTGTGATAGTGATACCACCTGCCCAGGGGGGCCAGGAGAGTGCCAGGAAGCCCCTCTTTCCCGCAGATTGCAGAGGGCTTGAGCAGCTGACTCAGGCCGCTTGTTGCCCTTGTTCTGACTTCCTCTTGGGATTATATTATCTCAGCAACCGTGGTCATGGAAAGCTTGCTGGGAACTCACAAAGCGGGGCAGAAAATTCGGAAGTGTAAGACTTGTTTAAGCAACCTAAGCAGTAGGTGGGCCTATTGTAAGGGATGTGTATGGGACTAGAGTCTGGAATGAGGTGGAATGAGATGGGAGAAAGCACCAGTTATAAAGTTATGCAAGTCTCGTCATGCCAGCTCCTCATTGTTGTTACTGTTGTTCAGGTGAGATGTGCGCTGTACCAAATGATGACACCTTGGCTGGCAAAGCTGGTGAGAAAGGCAGTGAACGCCACTCCCCACTCACAGGTATGGAAACAAAGCAGCCTGTTTTGAAATTCAGAAACTGGAAGCCTTACTGTCATAATGGGTAGGTGAGCACCTTTCCTTTCTCTTCTGGTAGAATCCATGATTGCTTCCATCGGAAAGCCAACACAAGTATTAAAAGTCACAGAGACATTTGGGACTTGGATGAGAGAGTCGGCTAACAAGAGCGAGGAGCGCATCTGGGTGACTGAACATTTTTCAGGTACTTTCACTTGGCAGGTGGTCCAAGTCTGCTGCAATGGCTCCTTTCACCTGTTGCCTACCTTCAGCCTATTCCATTTCTGTGTGTCTGAAATCCTGGCGAATTGGCATAACAAACTGCTCTTTATTTGCAAAAACACAGGTAAGAATGCTTTCTAAAGGCAGAATGCTTTCCTTGGTTGAGCACGCTGGTGACAAGCTTTGCAGTTCAGGTCACAGGGATTTGACCAGGGCACCCCCAGTGTAGACTCACCAATTTTAGGCAAAGTTATCAAAGGAAACAAACAGCATTATGACTGATGGCCTTCTTCTGGCCATCTTTCTCAGGTATCTGTTGAGCAGAGGGCCCAGGGGAGAAGGGGAAGGCCCTCTTGCAGGCACAGTGCACCTGAGCTTGACCCCAGTCATCCTGGGTCCACACAGGGATGGTCAGGGATTGCCAGGGGTGGTAGCAGTGGCCTCACTCCAGAAGGCGTCTGGCCAGACTCCCGGGTCAGAGCAACAGCTGCACTCCACGGCTTCATTTCATTAAGTCTAAAGCGTCATCTGGTAATGACTGCACACGGGTCCAGAGGGAAAGGACCACTGGGGACTGGCAGTGGCTGCCATGCAGTGCGGGACGAGGCAGGCAGTGACTGCCCGAGCACCCCGTACATGCTGTTTCTGGTGTGGGCCTGTCTGTCTGATAGACCACTTTGTAAACAGTGTGTGTGTGTGTGTGTGTGTGTGTGTGGTGGTGGTGGTGGGGGGGCTGTTATACAGGTTTCCTGGAAGGAACAAAGCCAACTGTGGTTACCATGTTTGGCAGACGGCTCAGGAATCCATAGAAGAGGACTGAACTTTGACTTTGCCAGTCCAAGACTGCAAACTAGACAAGGACCCTTGCGGGACCTCACTCTCTACTTCCCTCCTTTGAGCTTCCTCCCCCGACTCACGCCCAAGCCGTGATGGTCTCTTCCTGGCTTCCCTCCTGCAGGAATCAGGGTGAAGGAATTCAAAGACCAGCCCTCCCTGCTGAACGGCAGCTACGTGCTCATCCACCTCCCGTACTATTTCCACGGCTGCGGGCATGCTGTTCACAACAACGCTTTCTACTACCACAAAGGAGGCTCCAACACCATAGTGAGGTGAGTCTGCTGGGCCACAGCTGCCCTGCTCCGGGCCGCGCAGCGCCTCCTCACGCGGGCCAGACGGCAGCTCTTTAGTCCACCACTGGCTACGCAGGCATAAGGACTGAGGTTCCATCATCTCTGCGTCCTAGGGCCTGGCCACAGTCAGAGGTCAGTCGGGGTTTGCTGACTGGGTGAGCCACAGGACATGAAGGGTGCACCCCGTGACCCAGCCCCTGCCTGGGCTCTGCACGGCTGCTGATCCAGACACCAAGAGTGAGGGCAGAGCCGGAGGGCAGCAGGCCTAGAGGGACAAGGCTGCGGCTCTCTCAGCTGTTGAGGAAGGAAGCATCTAGAACCCAGCACCCCTTCTGGCAGGATGGTGTCACATCCTGGAAAAGGATTTCTTTTGAAGTATGTTGGGTGTGAAGAATTTCACGTCACAGCCGAGGTCACTGAAGACGCGACTGCAACGCAAAGTCAGGCGTCTCTGCCTCCTGGCTGGCCTGTCATCCTGACGGGCCCTGGTCAGGCCCTCTCCTCCTCCGCCTGCTTTCCTGAGGGGAAGGAAGGTGGTCCCCTGGGCAGACTGTGCACAGGCCGCAGCCGGGTCTCCCCGGCTCCCCACAGGACTGCTGAATTGGGCTTCATGGCTCAAGGAGAAATCACATTCTGGGCGTTGGAGACAGAAGCAGGTCATCTCAGGCCAACCAAGGGAGAAGTGAACCCATTCAGGGTCTTCCACCTTCCCACTCTGTGGCTGTGGACAAGAGCCTCCACGTCCTCAGTGACAGTGAATGTGGACAAGAGCCCGTGCCGCCCTCCAGCTGTACCCGCATCTGAAATAATTCCAGTATTATGGAAGCCGTAGTCCTGGGCATTCAAAACAAGTGACAAGGGTCTTGAGGGCTTCTTGGGTCCCTCTCTCTCCCTCCCCTCCCCCCACAGTGAGGGCAGCCTCCGCAGCCTTGTTGGCATCAGAGCGCTGGGTTAGGATGGGGGCAGGTCTCCTCATATAACAACAGTTCAACCCACCCCAAAGACACATGTCAGCATGGCCAGGAGGGCCTCGTCCTTTGCCTGTCATCCCCCCACTGCCGAACTCCCTCATCACCTCAACAGCTCCAGGCCACCTCATCTGGACAGAGCCTGTGCTAACAGAGAAAGACCACCCACCCAGCCCCTGTTCAGAAGTCAGCACCCTCATTTAATCCCGAGGCTCCCTGCTGCCATTTGTGTTACATGGGGATGGGATGCAGGGGGCTTCTGAGGTGAATGAGCCCCAGAAAAAGGATGGCCATTCTAAAACAGAGAATCTTCTGAGGAAGCTAAGCCTGTGAAATGCACCGGTTAGGACCTGTGCCAGGCCCTGCTCTAGGCTGGCCACCGGTTGCAGGGAGGAGCTGTGTGTGGGGGTGGGGCCGGTGGAGGCGGGGAGGAGAGGCAGACAGACCAGATTTAGAGCCTTTTCTTGCTGGGAGAGATAAGTCTCCATCAAGAAACACGGCTGCTGGGTGCCAGCGCCGGACCAATGGTTCCAGTGGACCAAACGGCAGTCCCAAATTCCAGGCATTCAAAGGAAGGAGAAACTGGGGAGCTGAGATGGGCAGGCAGGGCCTTCTCAAGCCCTCCTCTAATGTGGTTTCTTTTCAAACTACTTCTTTTCAAACGGCTTGTTAATCGGCTCCACATTTGTTATGCTCCAGCGCATATCTGCCTGGAGGGCACTCCGTTCTCATTTCTTCTGCTGCTCAATGGCGCCCTCTAGTGTTCTTATTTTCTTTTCGCCTAGTGTTCCTAAATTTTCATTCCTGCAGTTGGATACCTTTGAATCTCAATCCACTTTTTGATACGGTCTAGGTTTGTAGTCTGCCAAATCAGACGGCCTCCAAGGAGCTGAGGAGATGGGATTCCATCTTGCAGCTTAATTCACCCAGCCACTTACCACTGACAAGAAAATTGACTTCACAGCCATGAGTTTGTTACATCTCTTCTCAGCTGGTGACTTTCTTAATTTAGACTGCTGTGAAATTTTTGTCTTAAAACTCCAGCATGGAGTAGAGGGAAAATCCCCAAGTTTAGAGTTTAAAACTTAAATTCATACTCTGGCTCTGCTACTTATTCATATACCTGGGCCAGTCACTTCTCCTTTATCACTTGTTAAAATTAAAGGATTGTTTTAGATCATCTTTTGAGGTCCCTTGCAGCTCTCTAAGAATCTCTGAGCAGGCATTTCATGAGGCCAGCAAGCACCAGAGGATTCACGAGGTCGAGAGAGTTTCCTGGGGTCACATGGTTTGTAGGTGGTCACTGAGCTGTAGTCACCATCCTTTACAGCCTTGCTGCTCAGAGCATTTGGGGCAGCCAGTAGAATCGGCATGCCCTGGAACTTAGAAAATGCAGAATCCCTGGCCACACCCCACTTTCATAGAGGAGACTTCAAAAAAACACCTTTGTCCACAAAAAATGGTGACTTATATTTACTTTTTATACATTTCAGATTTGAATTTGGCCAAGAAACATCACAAACTTTGAAGCTTGAAAACGCCTTTTATTTTGATCGAAAATACCTCTTTGCGAATTCCAAGACTTACTTCAGTTTAGCTGTAGATGAAAAGGGCCTTTGGATTATCTATGCTTCAAGTGTGGATGGCTCGAGCATTCTCGTGGCACAGCTGGACGAGAGGACATTCTCTGTGGCACAGCATATCAATACCACCTACCCCAAATCCAAGGCTGGCAATGCCTTCATTGCCCGAGGGATCCTCTATGTCACGGACACCAAAGATACGAGGATAACATTTGCCTTTGATTTGTTAGGAGGGAAACAGATCAATGCAAACTTTGATTTAAGAACTTCCCAGTCCGTTCTTGCCATGTTGTCATACAATATGAGAGACCAGCATTTATATTCATGGGAAGATGGCCATTTAATGCTTTATCCTGTGCAGTTTTTGTGAGCTCCCTTGAAGCAGTGATGGAATGCACTCTATTCCCATTAGTAAATTTCAGATATTCCCTGGAACAATTTATATCCCAAAGAAAACATGCCTTTAAGGGTAGCCAGATACTTAACTGTCATAATCTCATGACATGAGTATTTATTTATATGGTCAGGGAACCCCCTTGAGATTCAGACTCCTTGAGAGAAAATAGCAACAGATTGGAAGTCAAGACAGTTGAGATTTAGTGATTCCTCCACAAATCAGCTGGGCAAATTTCCTCTCCCTCTGGGGGTCCTGTTTTTTTCCCCACTGGTAATGTGAAAGGGCCAGTTAACATGACCGGGAAGATTCCCTCTTGGTAAATGCTGTGATTCTTAGCTGTTCCTGCTTTCACAATTTTCATACATTTGATCTTCAGCCACTTGGTGAGCAAATTTACCTCGGAGTTGACAGGCTCAATTCCTTGAGCAATGAATTCCTTAGTGCGGCCTTACATTTGGTAACTTGGGAAGCTGCATGGGCCCTTTAAGGCTGCTGAGGGGCCATGTGACCCACAGTGTGTACCTGCACCTGCCACCCCAGCGCCACAATGGCTGTTATCCTCAGCTCCTGGTAGCCAAGATTAGCAAAAGCCAGACAGCCACATGCTCAGGTTTCCTAATGAAACAGAAACAGGTTCCCGTCAATTTCTTACCCTGGGTCAGAAACTGGCCCCTCAGGCCACACTGGCCCCTTTTTCCACAGCTACGGATCTATAGTCAGAGTACTAAATATTGTGTGAGTGGGCATTAATCTGGCTAGAACCATGGGAAGCATTTTGCAGTTTCCGGAAGAGAGGCACCATTTGTGGTTATTATCTATAACAAGATGGCCAACGATGGCCCTTGAGCCAAAGCCAGCCCATCCCCTGTTTTTGTGAATAAGGCATTCCTGGAACCGAGTCACACACATCTGGTTATGTGTTACAGTATGTGAGTACTTTTGCTTTACAATGGCAGAGTCGAGTCCTTGCAAGAAAGTTGAGAAGTGGCTCAGAAACCCTAAAACACTCATCCTGTGGACCTTCACAGCCAAAGCTGGCTGACTGCGACCTGGAATAGAAAGTGAGTCTGATTCTTGGAAGGGCCGATTCACCACAGCCTGTTTGTTACATTTTGTTTTGGTCCAGACTTAGAAGTGGTCATTTATATGGCTCAAGTTTTTGGAAGAAGGGAAAGATGAGAACACCATAAAATTATGTGGCCCTCCCAAAAAGCAGTTAGTGAGCTGTTCTTTCCCTAATACTGTTTTAAAGGATGTGATCTGTTCCCCCTGGATGCCAGGAGAAAATCCAGTTTAGCTTGCTCCTAAATGTGCTTAAATGCATATGTTTTTTGCCAGTTCAGTTGTTCAGACATCCTTTAGCTCTGTGCTGAGGTCCAAGCAGGGTCACTGAGAAGAGTGGAAGTCACTGGGTCCTGCAGCCAGGAATGGGACCCAGGGAAACTCTTTAAAATTTTTCATCCATTTGCCCTCACTGAATTCATGTTTGTGTTGGTGGAGAGCTTCCAGAACTTCTTCACTGGGTCCCCTCCATTCTCAGGGGCCAAGTCCTGAATGATAGCATCTTAATAGAAGCATTTTAAAACTTAGGGGATTTACAGGTTTAAATATTTAAACCTCCCCACCCCCTGAAAATACCTAGGCAACTATTAGGGACATTTTATTGTTGTGTTCTCAAAATAATGGGTATTTGAAACTTTCCCCCCACTTTTTAATTAGACTGGTTGTGTCATGTTACAACTTAAAAAATACTCTTTTCAAATTCATGTTTTATAACAAAGTAAAATAGAGTTTCATGTTCAAGATCAATGTGCCTAATGAATGCTAGTCTTCTTTTAAAGTATGTAAATATAAATATTGCTATTTATGGATACAGGGGACCTGAATATGAATATGATTTCATAGTAACAGTCATATCAGTAATAGTAATATATACAATACTAATTGTATATATGGTAGCAATCAAATGAGGTTACTGAATTAGCATATATTCCTTTTGGTATCTGAGCTATCTTGGTTGCCCTAGTTGTGGGTAAGGAATCATGTCCTCACTACTAGAGAAGCTCAAACTGGAATTTTTTTTTTCTTTTTTCTTTTTTTTTCTTTTGGCTATAGCAGGGAATAATGTAAGGACAACTGCATTTGACCAGCATTTAATGGATGATTTTATAATATGGATGAAAGTTTGTCTTTACAAAGTGAAAAGAATTATGCTTTTATTCATTTTTTCTTGCAAATAGTACTGTCTTTAAAAAAAAAGAGCTCACTGCTAAAATAGAATGTATAACCAAATATTTTTAAGTCAAGATATCTTTTTAGCAGTTTACACTGTCATTTATAACAAAGTTGCTTTAAAGCACTTTCCAAGTATCTGCACTTCTGATGTCAGAATCAAAGCAGATAATTCTCTATCTTCTTTAATCTAAAGTAGATAATTTCCACCCCACTGGCAAGTCAATAAAACCATCCCTTCCAACCTCAGAGATAAGCTGGACCCTATTTCAAAGCATTCTCTTTCAAAGTGATAATGTGTACGACTGAAGCCAGCAGGAGGTTACAGACTCAGTGCCTCATTGAGCACAGGTGTTAGGACAGAGAAAGAGCTTTTGGGGTGAGAGTTTTTAAATGAGGAGTTTGGATCTCAGGCACCTGCATGGTCTTATTTTCTTCAAGGTTGTAGGGTGAAAGGCAAATGAGACACCAAGATTCTTGTAGAGCCAGCTGTCGTTTTCCAACTGGGGAGAGAACACTTTGGTTATGACTATTTGATGCCAAAACATCTGAAGGAGAAGTGCATGACAGGGCTTTCCAGTTTCCATCCGCCGCTGTGACCTGGTGTGTCACATTATTCAAAGTCATAATTTCCAATCTGTAACCACAGATTCTGAACAATTCTGAACAAAATGAATTAGAATGACTGTCTTGTTTCTGGTTGTGCTTTATTTCTCTTTAATCTAATTAGTCAATAAAATAATCACTGCTGAACAGAGTCACATGTTGAAACAAGTGTATTGCTACTGTTACCTCATGTTAACTGACATGTAATATTTAAAAAAAAAAAACAACCAAAAACAGTGTGTGGTAGAATTATATTGGCTGTTTCTCTGCTGAATCTCTTGCAATTTGCTAGCTCCTTCTGAATACTGAAAAATCATTGATATGGATTATGTTTTTCTCTATAGGAAAATACAAAAAATATAAAACTAGTAACTAGAACTAGATACTCATAGATATAAATGCAATGACGATTTGCTGATTTACTGGCAGAGGCAAAGCAACCAAAAAAGGACATAACATTTTGGGTTAAAAGTTGCAAGAGAGAACATTTTTTAAAAACTGGATTTGTGTGAATTGAGGCAAGTCTCTTAATCCCTGAGAGCTTTTGTTTCCTATGTAAAATGTAGATAATAGTATCTACTTTTTTTTAATGTGAAATAAGAAATGCTCTGGAAATGATCCAATTCTTGATGAATTATAGTTATTACTTTTATAGTTTGTCCCTACAGGGAACCAGGGTGAGCTCATTGTTGTTATGGCCTTATGCAAGGGCTGCAGAAATGGGTCAGGGATTCAGCATCAGCAGTTTCTACCTGCTGGTCTGTTTGATTAGGTAGTTCACAATTCACGCCACCAAAAAATGGTCCTGGGTCATTCATACAACAAATTTACAATGAAACTACCCCCCAAAGAATGGAAACACACCTGTTGCCTTGACCTATAGAGCTTCCTTATAACCTTCCCTCAAAGTGTCTCAGTTACTGGGCAGCCCAGGTATTCACTGCTGATGACTTCTGTAATTAAAATACCACAAAGGAAAATGAAGGAAAGTCCACAAGTAGCAGTCTTGGCCCTTTAATTGGACTATTCAGACCTTGAAGGTGATGTTAAGATATCCATTCTTACAGCCATTCACTGTAAGATTTAAAATAAGAATGAAATTAATCTGTCATTACATTTCCCACCAAGAAATCTGCTAATATCAGGCTCAAATACTGAGCTACTTAAGGAGTGGTGGTTAAACTACTCCTAAAATGAGAAATACTAATTCTAAAATTGTTAGACTCTTGTAACCAACAATCTGACATCATCAGATGTCTCAAACTCCCTTGCCAGGGTTATAAAAGGTCAACACTGGATGGGACATTTACAGAACACCTAATCCACCACTCTCATTTTAAAGTCCAAGAAAATGAGACCAGAAACTAAGAGTAACTCACTCAACATCACAGTTTAAGTGACAGTTTAAGTTTCCTGACTTCATGACCATATTTCCCACCTCCCTCTGCCACTCCCAAAGGAATGATCTAGTCTCTGTAACTGGAAAATGAATTTTGAACTTTTCTTAAGCATTCCTTTTTAAAAAGCTGGATCTAGAGGAATATGTCAAACCCACCATAGTCAGAGAAGTTCTCAACACAATGATGCCGCTCGTCACCTTCTGGGAGGTAGATAAACATGCCCAAGCCCAGCACTGCTCGTTACTCAAAGAACTACCCCCACGGCTGGGCACGTCCAGACCCACAGTTCTCACTAGAGAAGTGGCTGCTATTTGGTGCTTCCCATCTATACGCATGTCTCTTCCAGGCAATTTGCACACATTATTTCACTTACTCATAGATGCTCAAGTAGAAGTGTCCTTAAATGTCATCTATTCTATTCAATGTTCTAATCTTCTCTACAAATGTGGTGGACACCCTGATGCACTCACTGCCTTGGGTTCCCCTTCAGGAAACACTTCTCACCCTTGGGGTTGGGAGTTCTGTCTGCACATAGCCGTCAGCTGTTAGCCCCTTTACGAACTGCCTCAGCTGCAGACTCGCGTCACCTGGGCGCACCGCCTCCTCCAGTGGCCAATGCGAGTATAAACGCTTAGACAGCTCCATCCCGCTCTGACCTGCTCTAGGGGCCAGAGCTCCACAGGGCTCGGCCAAACCTGACACTGGGCCCGCATCACTGGGTGACATTCCCTTTGCCCTTCCTGCTTCTTTCTGCTCCTTTCCACAAGTGTTGAACTAAGAGCATTGTTTAATGACATCCTGCTGGCTAAACGCCATCTTAGAGTTTGCTTCCCAGCCTATTGTAGAGTTGCCAGATGAAATATAGGATCCCAGCTAAATTTGAATTTCAGATAAAAAACAATTTTTTTTTAGTATGACTATGTCCCAGGTACGGCACAGGATATATTTATACTAAAAAATTATTTGTCTGAAATTCAAAGTTACCCAGGAGTCCTGTATTTTTATTTGCTAAATTTGGCAACCCTAAACAGGTGAGGTCCCAGAAAGAAGACACTGAGATGGGGTCTGGAAGCTGGATCTTTCACCACCTGTTTATGACGAGGACCCCATCACTGGTAGTAGATTGAGCTACTGGGACAATTGGACAAGTCCAATTGTTAAAACTTTCATTGGTGACAAACCAGAGTACCAGTGGAAAGGAATACAGTTGCTCATGTTATGCTTCAGATGTTTGGGAATTATGGAGAAACAGGGATGAAGAGGATAATAAAACCAGGTGGCTATTGCTAAGCTTGCCTGGCCCTCTGGAAAAAGATAATAAAAAGCTGAGAGCAGTTAATTAGCAACAGAAAGCTTGGAAAGCCCCGTGCGCCCTTAGCACACAGAGAGGCGCTCCTCTCCTGCAGAATGCAGGCAGACCAAGCTGAGACCCAGGCCCTGCACTGGAAAACCAGAGCTGCCAAGCTCTAAAGAAGGTTAAACTCCCAGCAAAGGAAGGCCACCATACCAAGGTGAGAACCCAGGCGAGGAAAGACTGGGAATCTGCCGTGGGTGGTGGGCTTGGCCGCTTCCAAATGGCAGTTGGTGTTTGTGGTCACTTGGAAATACAGGGGAAAATCAAGGAGGGCTTAAATCAAGCTCACTGGCAAATTTTTTTTTTCTATAAAAGGCCTGATAATATTCTAGGCTTTGTGGGTTGCTCTGTTGCAACTACTTAATTCTGGTGTTGTAGCTGTTTTTCTTTTGATTTTTTTAAAACTACTTAAGAATGTAAAAACCATCCTTCGCTTGCAGACTGTACCAAAACAGGTGGTTGTGTGGGTTTTCACCTCCAGCCAGCTTGCCAACCCTTCATAGGATAATAGTGATTTGTGATGAATATATATTTGACCTTCATGCCCTTTTCTAACACAGAGTACCTAAAGTGCTTGGAATTTCCTGTGATAAGAGCCATAAAGTTGTCTTTTGTTGTTGTTGTTGTTAATGAGACAACTCTGGAAAGCACTTAGGTAACCTAAGGATGGGTGCTGGCTGCCAAGGGACCCAACCATGATTAAAGGGTTGGAACTTTCCCACCCCAATTTCAGCAATGGGGAGGGGAGCTGGAGGTTAACCAGTCACCAATGGCTGATGATTTCATCAGTCATGCCTGTGAAATGAGGCCTCCATAAAAACCCAAAAGGATGGGGTTCAGAGAGCTTCTGGGTTGGTGAACATGTGGTGCAGGGACAGCAGTGACCTCTAGAGGGCGGGGGAGTTCCAAGCCCTTTCCCCATACCTTACCCTTCGCATCTCTTCCACCTGGATGTTCCTGAGTCACATCCTTTTATAATAAATAAATGATCTAGTGAGTAAAATGTTTCCATGCCACTCCAGCAAATCAGTTGAACCCAAGGAGGGAGTGATTGGGACCTCCAATCTTAGCTGGTTGGTCACAGGTAACAACTCGGACTTGTGATTGGCATCTGGAGGGGAAAGTGGTGTCTTGTAGGACTGAGCCCTTAGCCTGTGGGACCTGTTGCTGTCTCCAGATAGATAGTATCAGAATTGAGCTGAATCACAGGACGCCCATATGTCAAAAGTATTGACAGTGTTATAGCACTATGAGAATAGAGGTAGAAAACTGAGTTTTTTCCTTAATCACCTGGGTTAAGTCTTGATCCCCAAATGGGACTTATTCTTAAGAACATTTTATTGGCCACTCCTACAGGAAGGGAGTCACTGTGTCAACTTAAAGATTGTTGCACACATAGGGTGCAATACTTTTTTCACTTTCTCCAACACCTAGAATACACATGAATACTAGAGTAGTGGCAACATCAGTGTCAACATCATAGTTCAAATTTATCGAGTGCTTACTGTGTGCCAGGTTTACTAAATGCTTCATAAGTATTAAGTCATGTAATCTTCATGGGAAGCCCACAGGGTATAAATCTTACTATACCAGTTTGCCAGATGAGAAGAGATTAAGGAACTCAACCACTGTTGCTTAGCTTGTAAGTGATGAGATTGGGATTCAAATTCAGAAAGTCTGAAACCAGAGCCTACACTGTCAGCAACTATTCTTTCCTGCATGTCAGAGAGAATGGCTAGGATCCTCCCATTCTTTTTGGCTTCAACCTTTCTAGGACAGTAAGAAGGGCTAAAGACACACACACAAATGGCTAGTCCTTTTATATCTTTGTCTTGGTCTTTCTTGCTCCTGGGGGTCTGGCAATGAAATATCAGCAATCTGGCCCATGTGACAGAAGATGCCACCCTCTATTTGTTTGCTTTCTCTTTCTACCCACTCCTCTATTTGCTCAAGAATATACTTTGGCTAATAGTAACATAGGCACTCCAGGTTGCTTTTTGTTCATATTAGCATAGTATGTCTTTTCCCGTGCCTTTACTTTTAATCTGTCAGTATCATATTGTTTTTCTTGTAGGAAGCTTATATTTGGGTCTTACTTTTCCCCAGTCAGATTCTTTCTGCCTTTTAATGTATTTAAACAAGTACTAATCAAAATGGCTAATGTCAACAAGATGAGAAATAACGAGTGTTGGCCAGGATGTGGAGAAAAGGGAACCCTTCTACGTGATGAGATTATAAATGGGTACAGCCACTACGGAAAGCAGTATGGAGGTTTTTCAGAAAACTAAAAACAGAAATCCCATACAATACAGCAATTCTACTTCCAGGAAAGTACCCAAAGAAAACAAAATCACTGATTTGGAAAGACACATGCACTTTTATGTTTATACTAGCATTATTTACAATAGTCAAAATATGGAAGCAACCTAAATACCTATCAATAGGTGGA